TCCAGAGGTCTCTGTAGACTTGCGACGCCGTGGCACTTCCTCCGTCCCCTCGGAGAGCTGTCGGTGTGCTACCGTGTGCGCATGTCGTCCATCTCGTCCTGGTGCTGTGTGCTTCGCAGTGATCTGCACCACGTTGCCCCCCGCCTCTCTTCGATTAGCCCTCTCCTCCTCCTTCCAGAGGTCTCGGGAGTCCCTAGAGGCTTCCAGAGACCCCCGAAGGCCCACAGAGGGCCAAACAACGTGGAAGCACCTCTATCATCCCTCCTCCTCCCATATCCTTCTCGATCCTCATCTTCCTCATCACTTGCTTGGCCGCCGCGAGGGTGGAGAGCGCCGAGGCCGAACTCAGGTTCTTCAAGGACCGTGCGGAGTCCTCATGCCACGATGATCCACCCTCTGGCTACCTCTCGCCATCCCGTCCAAGCCTCGAGGTCCAAGTCTTTTTTTTGTGGGGGCGGGGCCTGCAGGCCTCCTGGAGGCTTCTCGTCGCCACGGCCGGGATATCCTCCCTCGAGGTCCTGGCCTGTGCGCGCGCCAGGACGGGGCCCTGCCGCCGATCTCAGTGGCGCCGCCCCGGCCCAGCGAGCTCTCCGCACCGTTCTGGCCTGGCGGAGTGTCTTCCGCCTCTGAGTGGCATTCTCTTCTCCCCCCCCCCGCGTCCGCCCGCTCTGCCTTCTCCCTGCTCTTGCATGCTGGCCAATTCGCTTGTCGGTGCCCCCGTCTAGTTCTGTCGCTGGTGCATCCAACTCTGCCACGCCGCCGACGGAAAATGTGTCCGTCGGGAGCTGCCAGGAGGGGGGTAATGACGATCGGCGGCGAGCCTGGAGGGAAGTGAGAAGAGGTGGGCCTTCTCAGAAGGCCCGGAAGTTCCCTCGGCTTTTGAGAAGTGTTCAGAGCTTTCCCCAAGCACGCAACAAACTTCTTAGAAGGCGTGAGTGCTTCAGAGGAGCTCTGCCGCCTTCTTAGAATCAACGAGCGCGTTCCGCTACTCGCAAAGTGCCTACTCGCAAACGTCCGAAACGCACATGTCTGCCTCGATGTAATGTACCGCAGATCCCCCATGGTGGATCCGGGCTATTTGCGAGTAGTTACTTTGCGAGTAGTGGAACGCGCTTGTCTAAAGAAGGCCTTCTCCTTCTCCCCCCCCTCGCTTGCCGCCGAGACTCGAGGGGGTCGGATATCATTGCCTGGGCCATGATATCTCCTCAGATCTCGTGGGGCCTTTTCTTATTTCAGTGCGTCCCATGATCTCCCCCTGGGCTGCGCACGTGCCGCCGGCCATGATTCGCGCCCCCCCCCCCCTCTTGGACGCCCCCCATCTTGGGCGCCCCCGAGTCCGCTTACCCTCTGGCTTCTCTTGGGAGCTCTTCGTCCTGTGAGCTCTGCCATCTCTGCTGTCCTTTCTGCCCCGTGTGCTCCCAGGGGGTTCGTAAACGTATATCTTCGGAGGAGGAGGAGGACGAGGAAGGAGGAGGAAGAGGAGGAGGAAGAGGAGGAGGGGGAGGAGGGGGGGAGGAGGGGGGGCGTAAACGTAATCGGTCGTAGAAGAAGGGGGTAAACGTATATCTTCGCAGCTCCGTGCAGATTTATTGTTGGATCGGTGCTGCGCTTCCCCTGGCGGCCTATGCAGTGCCGCCCGCCGGCGCGCTCCCGCGCCTGGCGGGGGGGGGGCAGTACAGCGCCGATCCAAGAATTCCGCGCTGACCTCCGACAGTTTGCGTGTGTACAGTTTTTTCGTGAGCAGTGATCTCAATCTGAAGTGCGAGTCATGGGTCCAAGCGCATGGATGCAGAATCGCAGTCTGGATAGTAGTATCTGATAATCCGTATGGGCTCGATTTGTACCAGGTATCTTCGCACCACGAGGAGGGCCCTCGTTCAGCAGAGCCGTTCTGGTCACCATCGTGCCACGAACTCGCTCAGGGAAACCAGGTACACGCACTTGGTCGTCATAACGAAAGAAGTGGCGTTCGAGCATGCCGCATTCTGCCTTGTCCCTGTTACGACTGTCTCACCTTCTCTTTGTCTTATCCCGAGGCATGGACCACCGAATTTCTGCCTGCATCCCTGCTTTGGCTTGCGAGCCTGCAACATCGGCTGACTTCCCATGTGCTGCTTTCCACCCGCATGCTTTCCCCATCGAGCAGGTCTCCTTCCTCGGTTTTGATCTCAAAATCACTCACTCTTTTCGTGCACCATGCGCCTGAACCAGCCTTCACTCGTTCGCTCCTGTCGGTTTCAACCCCGAAGGAAACTGCCGTCGAGAGGACGCTGCTGCTCGAGAAGACCTTAAGGACAGCACGGGTGATGTGCCGCTCGTGGAGTTCGATCGCCGCAGCAATGCTGTCGCCCCGCCGACGTCGGCACCGCAGTTGCTTTCGAGCCGTGCATGCGTGTTGACGAGCCCAGCCCCGCGGCCCCTTGCATGACGTCCGCCGAAGGGCCGCCCGTACATGTCGGCCCGCCCGTGCAGGCCAGTAACGGCCTGGCCCCGCACGTGCGCGCGTGTCGGCGGGCCCTCCGCTCTGCTGAGAGCAGCTGCGCTGTGTGAGCCGTCGGTGAGGGCGCGGTCTCCCCAGGCTTCTGAAGGTTGGCGCCCGGGAGCTGGGCTTCGATGACATGACGAGCTTTGAGATCTGGGCCGCGTGCGGCCGCTTAGCTGCGCCTTTGCAGGTCTCCAGCCGGGGTTCTCTGGAGAGGGAAGAGGGTGAGTTGGTGGATGATTGTGATGATAAGTCACGCTGAGTACGAATATGACTATGAGAAGGAACATGCAGGTGATGACGACGATGATGACGGTGATGTTGATGACGATGATGATTATGATGTTGATGATGAGGATGTTTATGATGCTGATGCTGATGAATGCTGATGCTGCTGATGATGGTGCTGATGGTGATGATGATGGTGACGACAGGGATGATGATGATGATGATGATGATGATGATGATGATGATGCTAATGCTGCTGATGACGATGCTTCAGCTGCTGCTGATGCTGCTGCTGATGATGATGATGATGATGTCGATGACGATGACAATGACAACGACGATGATGATGATGATGCTGATGCTGATGAAGAACAACAAGAAGGAACATAGTCA